TTGAATTGTAACACTTAAACATTTCAATTGAGAAGATATTTGAATAATGAATTGTTTAAATTCATCGAAATCTATATCATATAAACAAAGAGTAATATGTATTAAATTAGGCAATGTCATCAAGATTTGATGTTCAATAATTTCATCTGATTGAGATATATAGAAACAATATAGATGAGTAAGTTGAGATGTACAAGAAAGTATATACGTAAGTTCATTGAAAGTATAATGATGATAGATACTCAGATATTTAATTCTAGAATATTGTTCATTAGTAGCATATGATATAGCTATATCTGATTCTTCATATTCTGATATTACTAATTCAAAGTATTTTAAGAAAGATAAACGAAAAATAATTTGATAAATATCCTCAAGATCATCAGAACAATACTCAAGATAAATAGTTAATGAAACGGGACGAGTTAAAGATTTTAAATGAAAGAGAAGTATTGCTAATTTAAATGTTGAAATTCTATTAAGAATAAGTGATTCAAGACGATTAAATGATGAATCAATAGTACATATATTTAAGAATTTATAGAGAATTGATTCATTATGAAAATGAAGTGAAACAATACGATGTTTATTTGGTATGATAAAATTTTGATAATAATATTGATTTAATGATTGTGTTTCAGAAGAAAATTGAATCTTTAAAAGAAGTGATGAACTATTTAGAAGATCTTCAAAACGATTATTAAGATTCGAAAATACTTCATATATATATCACAACCATTAAGATAATCAAAAATTTCATAAAATATTTTATTCGATAAATTTTCGATGCAATTAACAGATCTTCTATATGCTATCAGAAAAAAAAACATATTATTCAATTAAGAAATTTATTTTTATTTCTTACTTTTCCTTATTAAATACTTCTAGAAAGTATAATAAACAATGTGAAAAGTTTATCAAATATATAAATTAATAAGAACTCACTCGATAATTTTGCATCAGAAGATTGACTAAACTTCAGTTGTTGTTATTTCTTTCGATTCATGTTTATTTTTTTAAGAATTAGATATAATCTACAAAGACATTAAATATTTATACCTCGAAGTATCTGTTTTTTTTTAAATCTTCTTTCACATTTTTTCTATGCCTAAATGTAATTTTTTTTTCTTTTGTTAATCATAGTACTGCTAATCTCGAGTGTTGCTCATCGTAATATGGGTGTTTAATTGATAAGAGAAGAGAGAGAAATAGAATTATTTACTCTTCCATGAATTTCGTTGAATGCTTTATCAAGATATTGTTGTATCAAAGATTATGTTGCTTTATGTTTATCATCAAACAAATAAAATCAGCGACCAAAATAACTGTGACACTTCCTGTTTATTCATGATGTATCACTTTCTGGTTCTCGTCTCTTTGTTTCACTGTTTATTTGCTCTTGATATGTTATCACTTATTTGTCACTTCTTGTGTGTGTCTTTCTTCTACGACGATTAATTATCATTGATTACTTTATCGTTTGTCTCTTCTCTCCTCGTGTTTAGATTATCTCCTTTCTCTCGTTTCATATACAGGACAATACATGATATAAAACAGATGGTCGTAATTTTAGTAGAAAAATTAGTCATAGAATAATAGATAAATTCTGAAATTTTATGTTCCTTTGGCTTTGTTTTTTTTTATTCATCATAATTCTTTTCGTTTGTTAAATACTAGCCTTTTGATTTTTTTCTTTGCTCTTTCTTTATTATATTAATGTAATTTAGTAAAATATTTATTATATCTCCGAATACTTTTTACATTGTTATGGTTCATTCTATTTGTATTCATAATTGAGTATATTTTCTTTTTGTATTTATTTTATTTCTTATGGATTGGGTACTGATAGGATCCTGTAGGGGTCGCCAGTCTTCTATATGCAAATAAAAAAAAAAGAAGATTAGATAAAGAATATGCTACAACAGCATCGATCTCAATTTTCGTTTTTAAAATCATTTTTATATTTAATTAGATGGTATTTGAGTTTCTCTCGAATATGAAATGTGGTGCGAAACACGAGTCTCGATATCTCTGAAAAAAACCATTCTTGAATGAATGTTGAATAGTGTCTCTGATCAAGTTCTTTACGTTCTACCGAGCCAAGACATTTCCATCAATCAACTGATCAAAGTTAAGGTCGGGTTGAAAAGTAGCCATGATAAAATTCATCCCTACGAAAATTCTACAGATGCATATCGACATGTTTCTAAAGAACGTTTTCTAGTGATAATTTAATTATCTCCATGATTAGTTATCTATTATCAGCTGTTTGACACATGAGCAGACTGAATGGCGCATAACATTCGTTTATATTTTCGATTTTAATTATCTCAAAACCAAAAAGGCAAAATTGTCTCATATTTGTCATTTTCGGAAACTGTTCAGGATTAATTTCTGACAATCAAAATGTTCTTCTGATTGATTGACTCATTAAAATAAAACTGGATGAAAGTTCTTCAACTATTTTTTGAAGTTAGTGTCGATTGTCTCTTTTTTGAAAGCATTTTTTTTTTCATCATTCAATTCAGAATTCATTTCTTGTTGAAGAAAAAAGTTCGCTGGAATCGGTTTTCATTGCTCAAAACTGGCTTCAAGAAATGTTTATTCGATAAAAATGCCATTATCAACTTTTCTTTTATTGACTCTCATGATCAATTATCAGGGTCTATAATATTCATATTTATCTAAACAAAATAGAATCTACAATGAAGAAAAATACAGTTTTGGATAATCGATTATCATTTCAAGAATGAGTCTTTTCACATTCATACAATTGTATCATGTTGTAGATCTTGTAAAGTTCTCTATTATAGTTTTCAATTGATTAAAATATACTTTGATTTCGGTTACACGATGTGCACATGTCTTTGTATGAAGTAAAAACTGGGTCTTCGAATTTTGATTTCAAATTTTGCGCATTTATAGATATTAATTATAATAGTATTCATAAAATAATTTACAAGTTTTGAATAGAGTTTCTTCAAGATATAGATCCTTTTCCATAATTTTTTGACATTTCTATATCTCGGAAAGACTTTGTTCAAAACTTTGATATTTTTTTTTTAATCGAACCTAATATAGTTAGGATCTATACACATGCATGAAATTTCTGATAAAAAAAATTAGAAGATGTTCGATTTTCACAAAAATCGAACATCTTGAAAAATAGACATATTACAAATTTCATAGCTTACGAGGGAAAGTTCTTAGGTGTTATACTCCGTTTTGAATCGACAACAAAGACATATGTCGATTTGAAATATCTTGTTCTTAGATTTTGCACAAAGATGATCGGTTGCTATAATTGAAATTGTCAAAAACTGTATAATACAACCGCAGATAGCATCAATTAATTAATGCTAGACGATAAGATCTTAATCGATCATTTATTTATTGAAATTTTTATAACAAATATTTCCAGTTAGAAGGGGTTTTGTTTTTCAAAGTTTGATCAAATCTTCCTTTCGAAAACGATCACTCAAGTTCAATAGAATTTCATTTGTTTTTATAAAAAATAAAAAATCTGCTAAACTTTTTCCTTCACTTTATTTTACGGTGCTCATAGTCACCCATTAAGCCTAAATTTTTAGAAATTTTGATGTGTTAAAAAAAAGTTTACATGGTGTCATTTCGACAACTTGAAACATTTAGATAACTTTGATTGCTCGTTTTTTTTGTAACCATATATTTATTAATAAATAAATCAGTTCGAGAATCTCATGTTTTAGAAAATCAAGATATGAGAAATATCTTACATTTATTTTAAATGTAACACAAACCTATGCGAAAAAAAAACACTTTAAACAAGATAACTCGGTCATTAATTTCAAGTAGAAAATATTCTGAAAATCACAAATTAATTTCTTCTTCCATAAGAAAGGAAACTTCAGAAAGATTCAGACATGAAATATCTTATGAGACATCCTAATCATTTCTGCGAAAACAATTGGTTCCATTGTTTTGATGCAAAGCATCTAAGATGTCAGACGTTGCGCAAAACCTCCGGATGTTTACGTACATAAATGAGTAGCGACTATACAATATTAATTTCATATTTATAATAAAAACTAAATATATCCTATTTAAATAGATGTCCTATAATTCTAAATAAGCAATTGTTTACATATATATCATTAGCAATAATTACTATAGCAATCTTTTATGTTGCTATTGGTATATTTATTATATTATTAACTTTAGTAAGATCATTAATGATAGGTATTAGTACAAAATGAACTATAAATAGAAATCTATGTTAATAATTTAAAGTTTTATGTAAATTCTATCAAAATATCTTTTGTTCAAAATTAAATAAATATTTAAATAGGAGTATTTTTAATTTTTTTTCAGTGTTTTATAATTCTAATGAATAGATAATTTGTTGATTTAAATTAATTTTTTTCTCAACGAGTGTTTGTTTTTGGAACCTATAATATTATATGCTCGTGAAATTTTAGTCATTAAATATTTCTAAACTGTTGTCGAAGTAAATGTTCCTGATGATAATTTAAACAAGAATTATGTTGAAAATATAAAATATTCACAATTTTTATTTACTAGAATATTGATTTAATAAAATTTGATAAAAACTGTTTGCTTATAGAAGCTCGGAAATACTTTCACATGATATTATTAAAGGATTTCTTTGATAAGGAATTTTACTTTAAAGATAGTTTTCTTCGAAGAAAATTTGAGAAAGATCTGAATAGTAAATTATTTTTTTTGTAATAAAATATTTATTTTAATAAATAATATGATGTAGTTTTAAGTTCAAAATTATTTCTATTATATATTTATGAATTTCTTATGTAACTATCTTAAGAAGACCTTCATAGTATCTTCAATATACTCATATTTGCTTTTATCTAATCAATTGACTTTTATAAAAGAAAAACAACAATCTTATCTAACCTATATGCCATTAGGCTTATCTTGTCTTTTTATTAAGAGTTTCGTATGACTTATTAGAAATACAAATAATCAACTTTTCAACAAAAAAAAAAAAAGTCTTGATTGTGATCCAATCTTTATAGAATCAAATGTTATATACGTATATTCTTTTCTCTAATGACTATATTATATTTTTCTGATATTTTATCTTCTACACTCTCGCGCATAGAGTATTATTTTCTATAGAATGAGAAAGTTCATGAAAAATTTTGATAGAATTATGCAAGTAAGAAAAAAATCTATGAAAAGTTTTTATTACCATTTTTTTCTCTTCTCAATGATATAATTAAAAGAAATTTTATCTAATGTATATTCGATATTTAAAAATATTTATTTGACATTGGAAAAAAAAGTGATTTCTTTTAATAAAATTTTGATAATGTTTAAAATAATTCTTTTTCTTTTTTTCTTGATCTATTTAACATTAAATTTTATGATTTTGTATTTCTTGTTGATTGAAGTAAATTAGATGATGTTGATGATCTTAGAATTTTTTGTTGATTATTTTTACAACGACATGGTATATAATGTAATTTTTGTTCATATATATAACCATTAATTATATTATGTGATGATGAATAGGGTTTTTTTGTATTTAATAAATATTCATCATTATTACAATTATGATAATAATTATCTTTTGTTTTATATTTAAATTTTTGTTCATTATTTATTTTTAATGATGAATTTTTATAATTACATTCACATATTGAATATCGATCATAATTTAATTGATTAGATTTTGTTAAATTAATATTATATAATGAATTACTTGTACGTCGATATATTGAACGAAATTGAGATGTTGATTTAAAAGATTGTTTTTGTATAGGATAAATATTTCCATTATTTATTCGTTTTTGATATTCCCAATAATTTGGATGAGCAATCTTTAATTACGAAAAAAAGAAACAAAGAAAAACATGAATGCATGAGAGGAACTTATTGAACATTGACATCCTTCCGTTTTTTATGTTTTTGATAAGTCTATTGTTACAAGTTATGTTACCATGATATTATCATAATATGAAACTAATCTACTTACATTTAATTGAATCTGTTGTAATGTACGCATAGGTGAATTTGTTCGTGCTAACATTTGATGACTTGATGTACGTAAACTTAGACTTTGATGTTTTGTATGACAACATACTTGTGTTAATTCACGACGAAATTTTCGATTAAAACATGCAAAAATAAAAAAATTAACCTAGGAAAAACAAAACGAAAACCAATAATTGTCTTTTTTTTTTAAATGCTAAAAAATAAAAAACAAATTTTTTTTTTTTTCGTACTGCACTATTGAATAAAATAAGAAAATTTGATATATCATAACAAATATAAAGCCATCTATGATTTCGATAAAACATATAGATATAGTGAAGTATTGATGCTGGTACTTGACATATTGTAAATAAACCAATTAAACATATAACTGAACGTGTTACAACACCTTCTCTAAAACGTATTGTATTTGTTTCACGTGTAATTCGTGTATTTTGTCTATAGAGTGGTGTACAACGTTGAAGAAAATTTGAACTAGCATGAATACTTCGAATAAGTTCAACATTAAAGTATGATAACATTAAAAGTGGAAGAATACTTTGAAAAAGACTATAAAGAACTTTAAAAATAAAAACAAAAAAACATTCAATATTAAGATTGAATAAATAAGATACACAAAAACAAAATGTATTACTTACTAAGATGGACGGTAAATTGATAAATACTACTATTATGTAATTTATTGCTTATCACAATATGATCAATATATTCTGTATAATTTTCAAATACAGATAATTCTTCACGTCGTACTTCAGTTTTATATTCAAAAAAACGTGGTAATGAATAAATAAAACCCAAACAATAAATTGTCACAACAATATAACTTAAAAACAAAAAAATGTTATTTTATATTTGATATAGATTATACATACGAAAAAAAAAAAGAATAATTTATATTTTTGTCGATTTAATTCTAACCTAGACATGATAGTTTTTTATATAAATATATTATTTTCTTTTTTTTTTCTTAATTTACATTTTATTTCTTTTATTTTTAGATTATGAAAAACAAAAATACTACAATGAATATTATTTAATCTTTTTAAATTTTATCATCAATCTTATATTCATAAATGTGCTCAATAATGTTTAAATGTACTTTCTTATCTTATCTTTGAACTAGTAAAGCCATATAAAAGATTAAATATTTTCTAGGTATTCAATTAAATTAATAATTTAATTCATAATGAAAAATAAATAAATAATATATATATATATGGTCATAAAAATTCATTCAATAAATCTTAACATAACGAATTTCTGTTATGCTGCGAGTGTTCATTATTTTTTTGGTTTTCTTTTTCTATTCTATAAATGCACTTACAATTTTCTAAGATATTTTTTTTTTTCTTTGAAGATCAAATCTATTTTAATCTCGACGACATACATTCGTTGAAAGTCTGTCTAGAATTGCCCTCCAAGAACAACATGGATAATAAATCTTTAGATGTTTATATAAAAATAATTAACTAACCAGGCTCTTTTTGAACCATGTGTATAATGAAGCATTGGCCATTTAATAGCAAACCATCGATCAATAGCAAAACCAATTATCACCCAGACACTTGTAAATTGAAACCATATAATACAAGCATAGACATATGGAAAAAGATATTTATGAAGTGTTGATGAATAAAATGATTCACTTTGTCGATTTGGAGGAATAGAATAATTAATAGCAAAAACAAGACCCAATAACAATAGACAGCTATCGCTAATACTCAATCCAGCAAGATAAGTCGAAACAACACTACGCTATTCGAAAAAAAAAGAATCAAACATATATATATATGATTGTAGTAATATATTTACCATTTGACGACGAGTAAATATATATACAGAACATAGAGCAAGAACAAGTCCTATTGAACATATAGTTGTACCTATTTGTAATATAATCAAATTAAATTATTGATTATCTTGGTTTGTTTTTTTTTTTGAAATAAAATAGTTTTTCTTACCAATATAACCAAATAAGTAATGTGTAAATAACATAAGAGACATGTCCATTTGAACCATTATTTAAATATATCGACTATGAGTAAAAACAAAAGAAAAAAGTATAAGCATTGCAAAAATCGATATATTATCTATTTGAATAAAACATCTTCTTCCGTTATATATTTTTTTTTTACAATAGCACAAAGATTATCTTTTCTTTCTGACATTGTCGCAACCAATTGTTGGCTTTTCCCTCGTTTTCTTCTTTTTTCTTCTTTCTCTATATTATTACATAAAATTATCTTCTTATTCTTTATATAGATATATATATATATAGAAAGAGAGAGAGAGAGAAAGAGTCATATATAACATGTTTTGAATACGAAAGATTTTTTTTATATAATATAAAAAATCAGAACTTCTTGGTGACGTCAATACAAAATGAATGGCATAAATTTATGTATCGAGGAAAAAGAAAGAATAATAACATAGTAGTTTTATTAAGTGGACTCTCATAGTAATTTAACGTATATCTAAATTATCAACTATTCTAAATATATATATATAGTTGATTATGAAATATCATTCATATCAACGTAAAAAAAATAGAAATAAAAGACAAAAACAAATAAATTTAACACAGTTTTCTGTATTGTCGATAATTATCATAATATTAATCAAAGAAATACAATAAGATGATGAATAAGAAGAAGAAGAAAAATTATACTCTCGAGTATGACTGATAAATGAATACGAAGACATAAAGTGAACAGAAAAGTATGATCTATCATATAATTACACATCATAGCACATTTTAATACATGGTAGTTAAAAAGAAAGTAGGAGTCAACAGGTGTAACAGAAACTTTTTTCTCTTGAACTCGACATGACATAATAGGTTGTTTATGTTATAGGCAGATCAAAAAAAATTATTCCTTTAGTTTTAATGCGTACTTTTATATTAATCAAAAGAAGAAGTTATCAAAGAATTTTTTGAATATTTATCTATTGATCTCGAATTAAGAGTGTATTTAGGTACAATACATCGAAAGAATATAAACTTTAAAAAAAACTTCAGAAACAAAGTAAGTAAAAAGACGGTAAATCATCATTTATAACTATCTAAAGCTTTTAGAGTTTTATTAGAAGGCATCATTTCATATTGTAAAAAAAATGTTTCAATAATACTAAAAGATATCAAAAACCAATTATCTTCATATATATATGTATGAAAAAAAACGAAAGATTCATTTCATTTTTCATATACAAAAATGTCTATGTATCAACTAAGGACAATCTTATATTAACGTAAAAAATTATTATTTTATAAGGAAACATTGATTAAAGTTTCAACATACAATAGATAAGTATCTTCTAAAAAAACCGGAGGTTTCTTTTTTTTTGTCTAAATGACATACTGATTACAAAATCAGCATGAAATTTCCTGTTTGATGCACATTAATAAGTCATGAACATGCATGTATGTATTTGTCATAAAAATAAGTTCAGACAAAGCTGAAAATCTCTATCTACATATCAAATACAGAGTTTTGTAAAATGAAAAGCTAAGAAAACAAAAAAAAAACGCTTTTTTTATTGATTATATTTAAAATAGAAAAAAGAAACAGTCATACATATTTATACTTTTATTAACCATATAATCGAATAAAAGAACAACTAATAATAATTATAAAACATATCAGATGTAGTAAAATGACCAAAACACAAAAAAAAAAAAACGCCTATATAACATAGATATATCAGAATTTGATTGACAACTACGAATTATTTATCATAATTTTAATTATTTAATGCATTAATTTTATTTTTAAATTTCTACGAGAATAAACAACAAAATCTAAATAATTTTTGTCAATAGAATGAAGGCATGTAAAGTGAATTATGTTAATCTTTTAAAACAATTGTTAATATGATATACTTACTATATTATGAGAATAATATAGATAAAATATACTAACATAAAAAATGACTACATCTATAAAATATAATGATCCTTTGATATATTTCTACATACTTACAATAGTTTGTTATTTTATGTTTGTATTATCCGATAATATTGTTTGTTTAACAAAACAAAATAACATTTTTTAATCTATATAAAATAGTGATTTTTATATTGAATATTGTCTCTCAAGTCCTTCTCAAGTATTCTCATAGGAGAAGATATTAAACGACATGATTGACAATAAATTGGTTTGTTTTTTTTTTTTGCTAATAAAATGATGATCAATTATTGTAATATCAAATAAATGATTATAATATTATTGAAATACGAAAAAGAAAAACAATTTAAAAACATGAAATAAAATACTTTTTTTGTTTTTATTGATTTTCATTATGAAATAACAAAATTTCAATAATTAAAAAATTTTCTTTAGGGAAATTCTTATTTAAATTTTCAACAAACAAAAGAAATTACATCTATATTATTAGGAATCAAATATATTCATTATAGAAAAACGTTAGATAGGAATAGAAATACTCATCAATAAGAATAACGTTAGCTGTCATAAACATTCCAATATGACATTTATCTTCATGATAGAAATTTTCTCCTATTTATAAAGAAAAGCAATTCTGTTTACTATAGATATCTTCACATGATATATTAAATACAGAATTTTATTAATACACTGTCAAAAAATAATGCAAAAACTGTATAATAATAATAATACATGTTCCATCAAGACAATATATTTTCTATTTATAGTTCAATAGGATAATCAAATGTTATTTATATGTTAATTAACTATGATATAGTCTGATTATATGAAATGGATCTCGTATATTAAATATTTATTTTAATATTAGTTAAACATAAAATTTTCACAGACGAACCGGTACGTCGAATCTTCACATATTCCATATGCTAATATCTGATTTCAGACAATATATATATATATATATATATATGTATATATATATCTATATATATATTCATATTTATACGTGTTTTTTTTTCAATCATTATCAGAAAAAAATAATAATAAACAACAAAAAAAAACAACAAGCAAAGACAAAAAAAAAAAAAAGAAGAGAAAAACCATGGCAAAAATGAATATTAAGAGAAATACTAATACAAGATTTATCCAAAGGCAAGAAAAAAGAGAGAAAGAGAAAGAATTCACATGTTATAAGAAGACATATAGAATATGTAAATAATCACAATATGCAGCGGAGTGTATGTGGGTGAATGTGATTTTAATATATAATTGTGAATAGTCTATCAGCAGTGTACTGGAAAAAAAAAATAGAAAAACAAAAAGCATCACAGATAGAAAAGAAGAAAGTTCTTTTTTTTTATTGCACATTGTGCATTTTCTTTTCTGTTGTTTCAATTGTTTTTATTGTTGTATCATTATTTATATTTGGTGTTTGTATTCGACATATACGTTTTACTTTTGCACGATGATTTTTAAACCATAAACGTATATGTTTTGATTCAAGTTTAGGAAATTTTGTTCGATATTCACCTTCATTTAATTCTGAACATATACGTTCAATTAATATATGATCAGGATGTGTTTCAATAGCAAACCATTGTTCTAATTTTGGTACTTCAGATGTTGGATCAATAAATATACGATTACGTCTTGAACGATTATAATCAAATGATGTTGTTGTATTTAATATTTTAGTTGAATTTAATGTTATTTGTGTTGGTAGTGGTGATGTTTGTTCACTTATTGAACTAATATTATCATCATCATTACTTTCATCTGATTGTGTTTTTTGTTGTCTTTGTTGTTTATCTGTTAATGATATATCAAATGCTTGTAAATAATTAAAATAATAATTATTATGATTTTGTTGCTTTTGTTTTTCATCACAATCAATTTCATCATCAATATCATCTTCAATTTCATCAGATGAATCAAGTTCACATTTAATTGATTGATGATTTTGTTCATCATCATGATTATTTATTTGATTTGGTGATGATAAATTATATGATTGTTGTTGTTGATGATGATGTTGTTCTTGTTGTTCTTGTTGAATTATATTATCTGTTGTATTATTACCAAAACGACGTTTTTTACGTTTTAATGCAGCACGTGCATTTTTAAACCAATATTGAATATTATAAGGTTCAAGAGCTTTTTTTCCTAAAATAAAAAGAAAAACAGTAGTATTCAATATGAATATGAAAAACAAAAAAGAATTAACCTTTTCTACATGGTAATGAATTAAGACTTTCACATATAGATGCAATTTGATAACGTGTTGGATGTTTTGTATCAGTAAATATTTGTAATAAACGTGGCGTTTCTTCATGTGGATCAAATGTTGTACGTTCACGTTGTCGACGATTATATGCAAAATCTTTTATTGTCGATGATGATGATGTATTTATTGATGGTGTATTTATTGATGTTGAATCATATTGTTGTTGTTGTTGTTGTTGTTGTTGTTGTTGTTGAGCAAATGATAAAAGACTAGCAAATGGATAATTTATATATGATTTATTTGAATTTAATGTTGATGAATATTGTTTTTTTGAAAGATTTAATGGAGTATTATCACTGAAAAAATTTTTAATTATTAAAAATAAAAAACTTTGTTTTTTTTCTTTTCTTTTTACCCATCGGTTGTATTTGAATTCGATGATGTAAATGAATAACCATTTGGACTTGTTGTTGATTTTAATGATGATAATTGTTCTTGTTTATTATCATGATCATCAATATCATCATGCATTATTTGATAGGTTTTATTAACCAACTTAGAATAAAATAAAGATTTTTACAAAATTATTAATTTATATTTAAAAAATTTTTTTTACATACTTCTTGTTTATCACGTTCATCATTTACTAAAGGCATTAAATGTTTTAATAAACGTACAGATCTTTTATCTTCTAATGTATTTGAATATCTTGAACAAAAAAAAAACGAACAAAATTATTTTTTTGTTATTATTTCTCGAATTTTCTTACTTGAATATACGAATTTTAAGTATAGCTACATTCATAAGATCACCTAAGATATCTTGAACAGTGACCATTCGATTTTCAGTTACAGTTGAAATTGGTAATGGATTCCAATTTTTTATAAGAA